AAATACTGTTAGTGGACAAATGCGGGAAAAGTCTACGCTACCGACAGTTTTCAATGATTCGGAATCTTTAACTCTGGAGCCTTTACCCAAAAAACGCAAAAGGAACGATACATAAATGCCAACAATAACGGAAACATATAGTAGCCAAGAGGACCAAACACCATGAACCGGAAAGAAATGGCCATCCACGATATTGAAAGAAGGACATGCAAAGCAATTTGAAAATAATCGAAGATCGCTTGAGATGATTAAATTATTGTCATATTTATTATTATTGATATTTTTTAACAATAAAGCAATTTTATTTATTTATAGTTAAATTTAGAAATACACTGTTTACATCTAATAAATTATGTTTAGAGAAATTCATATGTGTATGTTAACAGTGTATTTTTAAATTTAACTAAAAATAAATATTAAGTTACAACTAAATAAAATTAATAATATTAAATCCAAAAGCATACAAATTTGATGCAATTGAATCAAATTGTAATTTAAATAATCATAAAATTTGTTAACATTGTAACACTTTGTTACCTGTTGTTTATTTAAATCATATAATAAGTAAATTATAGCGATTTAGTTTACAAAAACGCATCAGTTTTCATAAATAAATATTTCATGGTATTCTGCTATACATTTTTTCTTTTAGTTACGACATTAAAAATAACCATTATAAGCATTACTTGAATGTAGGTTTGTACTCACCTGATGCTTCTAATTTCATTATAAATCATTTTTGTATACAATAAAAATATTACATTAGAGTAGCTACCAGTTAAACGTCTTTTTATAATTTAAATGCTAAAAGCAAGAGACCAACTTCGGAAGCTGTTGCCAGAACCGTTATCCTTAATACCTAGCCCCAACTTTAATATCTACGACTCATTCCTTCTCATGTCGAACACGTACGACATAAACAAAAGTTTTTACCTTCCTTCAAACAATACCTATGTTCTTAATAAGTAATTATGTATACAATAAAAAAAATAATTTTGCTGAATTCAAATTTTGTTCCTTTTAAAATTATTATAACTAAACTATTGTGAATCCACGCTGATCGAAGACGAAACATTGTTGTTTTATGGTTGTAAAATAAACATTTTTTTAATAACAACTAAACAGCAATAGCTTGAAAAAAATATAAATTTTACTGTTATACCATTTGGTAAAAAATGTGCCAATAAAAATTGTTAAATAAGTAAATAAATTATAAGAAAACTGGAATAAAAATTTTCAATTTTAATAACAGAAATAATTAAAATTATCAATATTATTTAAAAAAATGATTGTGTAAATGAATTTAATAATTACATGAAGGAATACCTGATTATTTTAAATTAAAATATAAACTACGAATATAACTCGTAAATATAATTGATATAATTTGGTGAAATTTCAATTGCTTATTGAAAACATGAACCATATAGCAGTTTGAAACTTTAAACTAATACATAAATTAGGGCGGTAAAACCTATGATGAAGTAAAGTGTTAAGGCATCAAAGGAGGAGAAAGTAAGTACAGTTTTAGAGATTTTTTAGAGAAAAGGAGTGGATTAGCTATAAGCAGTGGTGATGAGGAAAATAATGGTTTGTATTCTAAATGAAACTTATCTTAAACTAATCTTTACTAGAAAGACTCCAACGTGGCAATATACTGTAACTAAACCAGATAAAATCAACAAAAAAAAGAAGTTTATATTTTCTTTACTTGGCGAAGTAATAAAACAGTCCCAGAATAAATGCGTGCCCGCGAGGTAGACGAAACTAGTCTAGATGGATGCTTTGGTCAAAATACCAACAAATTTTGTTAAGAAGCAGATAAAACAAGTCAAAGCCGAAGTAATCGACAATTAAAGCGACTATAATGACAATTACTTTAGGAAAATTGTCACTATCCAATTAGAACATTCGAAGGAGTTCCAATTCTAAAGTAGTTTCAAAGTCCTCGAAGATGGGACAGATCGTTGATGATGATGAAAGTAAAGATAATCTGATAATCTTAGTTGTTGTAAGATGATTGAATTGACATTAAGTAACTATATTATATATATTGTAAATGTTTAATTTCTGCTTATTAATAACGGATTAAAATTTTAATTTAGAAATGTAATCATAGTCAGGTCAAATCGTTTATCTGATAGTTTTTTTTCTAAGAGATATTCCAATATTGTAAAAAAATGCGAAGAATTTATCGGTGAAGCAGCCAGTAAGGTGATATTAGAACTATGTCCGGATATTAAATACCGCAACATCCAATTCCCCTTTCATTGGAAAACGCAGCTAGTACTTTTTTACACGTTCAATAGAATGCTTTAATTAGTGAATAACAAAAAATAATATGTTCAAAAACTTATTCATTGTGAAATACCTAATATTTTCAAATTTAATAATTCTAATAAATATTATTTATTAATTAGAATAAATGCATGGAATTATTAAAAACCATTGAAAAGATCAATTAACCATGGATTCTGCCATTCATCAATGATTATTAAGAAATCTGCAATGAAATTATTTCCAAGTTTTTGCATATCTATATTTATAGAGAGAGACAAAATGGAATTAGAGACATGTGCACATTTGTTACAGTTTCCGCATGATATAAATACAAGCCCCGATAAATTACTCATCGTTCTGTGAGAGCCCTGATCACCGGATGCCATTTCTGGCGTAGCCGTATAAATTCTTCACATGCGCGTTATACCGGATAACATTTATGTCACTGCCAGGAGCCTCACCGGAAAGTACCCAGAATAAATGAACAAAAACGAAACGAGTAGACGGGGATAGAGAGACTCGGTGCTAGAGGCAGAGCGCTCTGGATGTGCTCAACCTTTAATATTTAAAACCCCCCGTTCGCCCTGCGACGACGATTGTGACTCGTCGCCGAGAGCTTTATCCCTGAATCTGAATGAAACGAATTTCAACATCTTATAAATATAATTATATTATTTATGGACCACTTCAATTTATTTCATTACATACGTTCAATAGCTCTTTACATCATCTATTTAACAATTGTGTAATTACTAAGTTAACTCTCTTAAAATCTTTTTAACCTGCATTTACTTTTTAAGTATTCTATTCTTTTCATAAAAAAGTGATATTTATAAAGAAACACACTTTATTTAGTATTTATTTTTACAATCTATTCCTGCCAACATTAAGTAAACTTATTCCTTATTTTTCGGGTGTTGGGATTAAAAGTAATACTAACTCAAATTGTACACAAATAAGAGAGTCCAATGCATACTATAAACTTTTTTTATTATTGTTGATAAAGATATAATATTAAATCATTTATTTATTAAGTAATACAACATTGATAAATTTTTATCTGCTTCCACAATCATGATTACAAAGTACGATTCTTCTGAAACATTTAGATTGAAATATTAAGATCTTTCCCCACATTTAGATAATGTATGTCCAAACTGGTTTCAATATTACTTTGTACTTTAGCAACTTATTATGCATAGACAACTGCGAATTTTCCCGCAGCAGAAAGTAAAACTTTCTAAATTTGATTTCTAATTGTTCACGCTTTACCTGAATGTGGTCTCTCCGAGTTAGTCTTGTATCCAGATGCGCATAACCAAGTATCTCACCTTTGATGATATTGACACTACTTTGTTGAATCTGACTGGTTGACATGAGTCTCGTTTTAAGGTAAAGGTAACATGCACCGCTTTTGACTAGTTTATACATGTCTCAAACGTACTAAACTCTTCTTGAAGGTGTCGAGATGCAATAGGAGAACATTTGTCTGATGTCATGTTGATAGTCTCGTCTGCAAATGTTGCTATGTTTGTATTGCCAGTAGTTCGTGAATATGCAGTATATAAAATTATATCCAGAACACTCCAACTCGATGGGATTCAGCTTAGATTATATTTCCTCCAATTTAATAAAAATCTGTCATTTAGATAGGATTTTCATAAAAATTATGCGGAAGATTCATTTTTAGCTGTTAAAGCAATCCTATACGCTAAACATGCATACATATTCCATAATTATTTAGCTACGATTATTATAAATACTTTTTTTGCTATTATTTAGATATGTAATATATATGTTTATATCTTTACTATAACTCAATGTTATTGTTCGTTCATCATAAATCATATTAACATTCCATAATATAGAATAATAATTTGTATTTGTCTAACAGTATGATCTAATATTAGGATATAGCAAATTAGTTAATAAACAACAACACGTATTACATAATTTTGAATACTAAATCACCGTATATCGATTTCATGATGATTGGGTAATGCAAATCAAATAAAGCTTTCCAATAAATCATAATTGATATTATATAAAGTGTATATCCAGTTAACATATGTACATATATCATATACAAATTATTGGTTTCATAGCTATAAATAATCCAAGAGGATAGTTAAAGCGCATCATAATTTATAGATTTAGAAGAATCTTTAATAACTCTTCTGCTACTATTCTATAATTCGTAAAGTAATCATTCCTATTGAATTGAAAATTAAATTAATGACAATTTTTTCATCAAAATCTTAAGAATGTTTTATAATAAATATGAAGGTTTGTAATAATTTGTAAACTGTACTGTTTGAAAAAAGAAAAACGATCATTAATGTATAAAAAAAATAATGTTGTGCATTATTTTGCTAAATTAAAATTTACTTTCTTTACATTTTTTTAATTTTAAGTTACAAATAATTATGCAAATTATTGAAATATTGAAAAACTTATTTTCTACATAATTATAGTAAAGAATTGTATTATATAGTGTACAAAATTAAGTAAAACCTTAATTTGTATGAAATAACGTAACACAATAACAAATAAACTGCACTAAAAATAAACTGTGTTTTCCATAACAATATGATAAGTTATTATTGTTATACAAGCGCGATTATTTAATTACTTGTACTTTCTGCTCAGTCATCGACTTATTTACTTTTAGAAAGCAACAGATAATTATTACAGACATAATTAAATTAAATTATTGCAAATCGAATCATTTAAAGTCAAGTAATTAGAAATTCCGCTTGAATATCTAATCATAATCGTGCACCCAAACAAGCACGAAAGATAAACCTTTAGCATCTAGTTCAATTGCAATAAAGTAAGTATTGCACAATTTCCATACATTATCGATAAGATTGAATGAAGTGCTTTGAAACTGGAATATTTCAGAATTAAAAAATTATAAACTAAAGGCAAATTATATAGAGTGAAGTATGGATACATCACGAAAGTCGTTTAAATCGATTTACCCATTAAGTACCGAGAAATTAATAAGGAGCGAGTTTAAAAGAGTTAAAGGTAGGTAGTAGTGCAGATAAATGCACTTGTTAACTAACATTTTAAGGTTACGTTTTACAGAGCAGACTTATTTGGATCATGCAGGAGCCACTTTATATTCGGAAAAACAAATTGAAGCTGTGTGCAATGACTACAAAGGTAATCTATTTGCAAATCCTCATGCAAGGAGTACAATTAGCAAGGAAACTGATGATGCCATTGACCTGATCAGATATAAGTAATGTTTTATTAAACAAAAAGTCATATCAACTCAAACTAATTGAATTGATTGTAGGATTTTGAACCACTTCAATACTGATAGTAATAATTATACTGTGATTTTTACTTCTGGGACTACAGCAGCTCTTAAAATAATTGGTGAAAGCTTCCACTATAATGATGGAGAATTTGTTTATACTGAGGATAATCATACCTCTGTTTTGGGGATGAGGGAATTTGCAAATAATCATCGGGTTGTATCATTTAATGAATCCAAAGATTTACTAAACAAAGAGGATAATCAAAGAAATTGCAAATTTCAGAATGTCAAGTGCAATTCTCTTTTTGTCTATCCAGCTCAATGCAACTTTTCTGGCTTTAAGTATCCTCTAGATTGGATTAATAAAATTAAAACTGGTGCTCTTGGTGCTGATGCTAATTGGTATTGCATGTTAGATGCAGCATCATATGCATCAACTAGTTTCTTAGATTTGCAGAAATACACACCTGATTTTATATGTGTTTCTTTTTATAAAATGTTTGGATATCCAACTGGTTTAGGGGCTCTTTTAGTGAAGAATCAAAGTTCTAATGTTTTGAGCAAAAAATACTTTGGTGGTGGAACTGTTTATTTGGCTTTGAGTGATCAAAATGTTGTTATTAGAAGGAAACAATTAAATGAAAGGTAAACTAAACTTTTAAATTGTTTAGATTTCATTTAAAATTATTACTTACAGTTTTGAAGATGGTACCCTGAATTTCTTATCCATTCTAAGTTTGAAGCATGGTTTTGATACAATTCAGAGATTACACCTAAACATGGATTTAATTTCATTACACACATTCGCTTTAGCCAAATATGTTTACAGTAGTTTAGAGACTTTTCAACATAATAATTCAAAACCTGCTTGTGTTTTATACCATGATGGTAACTATGATGATGCAAGTAAACAAGGGGCTATAGTAAATTTTAATGTTTTAAGACCTGATGGAAGCTATGTTGGTTATTCTGAGGTAAATAAGCAACAAAATATTTGTATCAACAAGTGATTTAAGTAATTTTAGGTAATGCACATAGCCAATTTGAATAAGGTTTATTTAAGAACAGGCTGCTTCTGTAATCCAGGAGCCTGTAAAAGGCATTTACAACTTACGTCAGAAGATGTTAAATACTTTTATTCTGTAAGTTAAATTTAATGACTTCACTTAAAATTATAGTTGTGTTTATTTAGCAAGGTCACGTATGTGGAGACCAGAACGATTTAATAGACAACAGACCAACTGGATCAATTCGAATCTCATTTGGGTACATGTCAACTGTAGATGATGCAAATGCAATTTTAGATATGATAAAGCAAAACTTTATCGTATCTAAATTAAAAACTACATTAGCTAATAATAACGAACAGTTGATTTTCAATACAATTTTGAAAAATGAACGAATTAAATGTGAGGGAAATTTAAAGAAGATTTTGATATATCCCATAAAATCTTGTGGAGCGTTCTCTATAGATACGTCTTGGAAATTGATTGGATCCGGGCTAGAATACGATAGACAATGGATGATTGTAAGTCGTAATGGGGTTTGTCTGACCCAAAAGCAAGAACCTAAACTATGCATTATTAAACCAGTGATCGATTTACACGACGATTCGTTAATTTTGACCTGCGAAGGTGTAATTCATCATTAAGTTTGTATACTTTAATAATCGGTTCAGGTTTTAGTTCCGTTTCGGTACCACTTAAAACTAAATCAATTGTAAATTGCCAAAGTAAAGTTTGCGGTGATAGAATTGCAGGCTGGGATTGCGGGGATGAAGTAGCCGATTGGTTGGACCATATTCTATGCAGGAATGGCTTAAGGTTACTCAGTCAACGGGATATTAGAAAAAGAAGTATGCGTTTTACATAGTTAATTTTATAAATGATTTATTTTGCATTTCGCAGAAAATGAGCTTGAACTATCGTTGGCAAATAAAGCCCAATTTCTGATGGTAAACGAGGCGAGCGTCAAGTGGTTGTTGGATATTATTTCTGAAGGCGATCTTGATGATACCTTAGATGATTTGGTACAGAGATTTAGACCGAATTTCGTGGTGAATTTTGGTAAAATCTTCGTTGAAAACGATTGCGAATCGTTTCATTTTGGAAAAACTATTTTCACTGTACGTCCTTAAGTACAGTACTAATATCGAGAAGATTCTTAATTGCATTTTTATTTGTAGAGCGAAGGTAAATGTACTAGATGTCAAATTATTTGCATCGACCAAAAAACTGGGGAAAAATCTGTGGAACCGTTGAGGACACTTTCGAATGAATTTAATGGTAAAATTACGTTTGGTGTGTATTTGAAATGTACAGAAAATAAGGCTGAAAATCTTATTCATATTGGTGATAGTGTAATAGGCAACTGATTATTGCATTTTTGTAGTTTTAGTTAAGTTTATTGAATTATTACATAATTATTATATTAATATAAATAAATTAATGCTGATGCTTTTTTTTACTTATGTTAAAATAATAACTATGACAAATAAACGTTAAGAGATCTCGAACTACAAAAATACCACGAATGGTGCTGCCGATTACCAGAAAATATTCCTGATTGAAACTGGACTAATCGAGGAACTAAATACATACAAAAAGAGACTTAACAGTCCGCACTATGCGAGGTAGTGCTGTAATTATATAATAACTGTAAAATTCTATATTATCGTCAAAATAAATTGTATCTGTAACTAATATATTTTGATTTTTTTTATATAATTGTAAAATTAAATTAAACAAACTGAATAAATAAGAACAAATTAAATTTGAATATATATCTTTCACTTTATTATTTACATATTTACCTCTTATGTCTATATACAATAAAATTGAATTAACAAATAAATATATATATAAAACATATTAACAGTTTGTTTGCTGTATACTTCCGAAATTGATTAATCGATTAAACTCTTGATTTAGATCACTTGATAAAATATATTACATAACAATTTCTTGAATTACTTCCAATCCACTCTGAATCATTTTTTTAAATAATTTATTATATAAATATATATACCACATTAATATTCTACTAACCTAAAGGGCAAGGTATAATTAAACCAACGCCGATGCTGGCAACGAACTGTGCTTGGGTTTCATTTTGTTCATGAAGATCTTAATGCAACCATTAAAATCCGCCGAAATCAATACGTATCCGCCGCAACCTTTGACACGCTGTTCGACCATTGGATCCTCCTCCTGCAGATTTATAATGTAATTAATTAATAGTACAAGACAAAAAACGTTAGTGAGTAATACCTCTTCTTCCTGCTCCTCGGTTACATTTCGATCTTCGATCATTTTAATGATATTATCTGGATTTGGAGCGAATATGGCACAAGTCACCGTAACGTTGTGGGCTTTGATGGCTTCCCAGAAGACGTTCCTGTCTCTGCGGACAGACGAAAATTTCGAATAGTCGTGGTTCGTCTTCCAGATGTATATATCACGATTTTCCGATCCACTGATGATGTATTTGCCGTCGTGGCTGAAGCTCGCCTTTATTTGGCTGCTGATATTCACGTATCCTTTATACTTGCACGTAAGGCTAAGATCCCTCAGATCGTACAACCTTATTCTGCTGTCGTTTGAGGTAATCAGGATCTTGTCTTCGTCCGGCATCGGCTCGATACCACTGATCTTTCGGCCAATTGCGTTTCTACCGCGCGACGATCTCACATGAATCTGTGTATGATACTTCAACTGCTCAGTAGTGTAAAAAATGCATCTGCCATCGTACGTTCCAATAACAGCGAACTTTCCATTTTGACAGAAGTTGGCAGCTGTTATCAACTTATTCTGGAGCTTTGTTGTTACATCAATTTCATTCCAAACAGCAACCTGCAAATTAATTATATAATAATATATTAAAACCATTACAAATTATTTCAAATGTAAATTACATGTATTTTTATGGATGATAATAATTAAAAAAAGCACTATCAAAATTACCTTTTTATCTGGAATATTCCACAGCCTGATTTTACCGTCAAGAGATCCACTTAGGAAGTACCGATCGTCTCTAGGATGAAAGACAATAGCTGTGACAAAGTCAATGTGTTGGAAGCAACAAAGACACTCCTTTCTGGAAATATGCCAGAGGCGTACGGTTTTATCCATCGACGAAGATAAAATGAAGTAATTCTTAGACCAACTGACGTCTAATAAGTCGGATGTGTGACCGGAGTATGTACAAAAAGGTTTCGGCATGAAGACGTACTTGCTGGCTTCTTCGCTCCGAGGATCAAAATTCAAGAAAGGATTTTCCGAAGAGTTGTGGGAAACCAACGATTCCTGCGAAGGTGTTGGAGAGACTTTATCAGCATTATATTTTGTACGCATATCGTGGAAGAACTGGTAGGCATCGATGATAACCCAAATCCGAAGAACTTTGTCTTGACCGGCGGTGGCCAATAAACGGCCGCAAGATGAAAATTTCATGCACCAAATCGCTCCTTCGTGTTCACTGTTGAGCTCCTGTACGTGGTGTACCTTCTCGAAATCGTATGGACCTTTATGCGAGTTCGCTGCCTTCAATTTGATGTTATGATCACCGGGATGAACTTCGTCGACGACATCAACGATATCCTCTTTGTGCCTAGCATGCGAAACTTCTTGAGCTATACTCTTCGCTTTATCCATGGTTCTTCTCACCGTGGTGCCGAAGAATTTCTTTATTCTAGCAGTTTTACGCCTCATCAGGCCAATCTCCACCTCATTGTCTTCACCCAGAGGATGGATTTCCGACTTCTTGCTGCTTATAATACTTTCATCATCTGACTCTTTATCCTTCTCCATATTTGAACTACTGACATATTCCGACGTTAGTCTCATGATATGCAACGATAACGGGTTCAAACATTGAGGTAATTTATCTTCGGCCACGCTTAATGGAATTCTTTCGCCAGTATCTAGATTCAAAACTGTAACCTGCTGCAATATTTCCAGATCAGTTAGCTGCTTTCCAGTTTCTATTAATGAAGCGTAGGCCAACATGTTTTCATCGCCTGCAGACTTCCTTCGTTCTTTGGTACATGTCTTCATTTGAGCGCTTCTGTGCGGGCCCAAACTATAGTGACCAACGCTACTACGATTCGTGGAACCTCTTTGACTAGTCGAGTTGTCATCCTGTGCACACTCTGCTTTCTTCTCCTCCGGCAGTGTTTCCTTTGATGTGTTTGCAGCCTTCGCTTTATCGGAATCTAATGGCCTCACTACAAAGAGGCCCTTCGCTACTTGAGTAATATCCAGAGAATGAACTGAACGTATTGTGCTGCATTTGGAAGATTCTGAACTATTGGTTTTCTCTAGACGATGAATCTTCGAAGGAAGACTAACTAACGAATGCTCCAGCTCTCTAGTCAATGTTTCGATAGTTGATGCTGGACTAGTTAGGCTCTCAATACATCCCGACGATGGAAATCCGATTGTTGAAGTTGATGGCTAAAAAGAAGAAGATAAATTTACTTTCGACAAACTAGTAAACACAATTACCGTTATTGGCAAAGAAGATGCATTTGATTTGTTTTTCTTTTTTCTCCTAGGCGGAGCGACTGGAACTTCTATCTTTGGAGAGGATTTAATATCGAGGTTATTCTTTTGTAAACAAGGTTTTGTGCTAGCGATCACGTCTGGTTCTTGTAAAGGAAGACAAACTTGATTCGTATGTGCTGGGGCATCCGTCGATATCGTTGCCAACGTCACTGTACTTGGATATTGGGTTGTATCCTTGGAACTCTGGGTTGATGAACTGTGAGAACTTATCGATAGAGCAGACGAGGAGATCGCCTTTTTACACTCGAACAAATGCGATCCCAAATCTGCTTGACTAATTAATCTTCGACCAGAGTTGAAGCTCTGCAAACTCGACGTATCTACTTCGATAACCCTGAATGGATGAGAAGTTTTACTGGAAGCGTACACCCCTTCGATTGAAGACGTCTGACTATTTGGCGGAGTTAGGTTACTAATTTGTGCATCCTCGTCGTCGTTCTGTAGCTTCTGTCGAAGCTCCTTGAACTTTTTGCGCCCTCCTTGTGAAGGTTTTGGAGCCACCTACAATATATATTCAATTAATTTTAAATCCAATCCAAATTTAGAAATAGGTACCACAAAAAATGTTATTTAAAGGTTTCTAAGTAATGAATACTAAATCATTAAAGTACAGTTATTATTAGAATTGATAGTAAATTTATTATAACAATATATTTGACATTTCAATCAATATCATTCAATATAAATAAAAATAAATTTAAATTTAAATTATACCAACTACATTTAGACGGGTTCACTTATGACATATGACTTATGAAATAACTCCTAAGTTATTAAATAGTCACATTAGTCATTGATTGACCTTGATTCTTAATGTAATATGAAATATTAAATTTCACATATATACGCTGATTGTATTAACTTAATTAGATGTAAATATCAACAGTTTTCTTGTTGATAGTTTCACATTTCTTACATAGTGCATATAGATACATTTCATATTTGTTAGGTATATATTTAATGCCAGGTTAATATTTGATACAATTTAGGGATAGGTTTCCAAAAAAAAAATAGTGTCCTTTGCACTCTAGTACAAGAGTTGGGGAACTTTTTTTTACTTATTAGCCAATAGCAACAGTGTGCAAATGTGTCTCCAAGAGAAGCTCTTGCAACTCTTCATTAAGTCAAGTGCAGCTTCCATTAAAATTTGATAATATTTGATTTTTATTACTAAAATTTTAAAATAAATATTTATGTTCTAATATGTGACTACTGAAAACATGCAATTACATTAAATTTAAAAAAAATGAATTTGTGTAAGTGTGGCTCTTCATAAAATATAAAAAAAAAACAGATTGTGGCTCTCTTTGGCTTCATGTGTGCTTTCAAAATTGTATGTGAGGTATATAATTTCAAAAGAAAACATTTTAATTTGTAAACAAAATTATTGGAAGTAATTACAATTTTATATTTATACCAGTATATCTGAGATAATTTTATAATGTAGAACGTATTATTCTAGATAAATTCAAATATTATAATTATGTAACAAGTGTTAACTTATTGCAAGTTCTATTATCTTAATAATAAGATACCAGCAAATATATTTTTCAAAATATAATTCAAGGTTAACATGCGCAACGATTATCAAGGTCTTTTTAAATCGCATGGAAAAATATTTACAATGAATATTCGCAACGCAATAAATCTGTACGAATTTTATAATTCTCAAAATAGAATTAGAAAAAAAAATATGCACTTTACAAATGCTTTAAAACATTAAAAATGTAAGAATATTATTAACATTATAAGAATTATTTCATTAATAAAGCAACTATGTGTACAAAAATAATATTTCCAAAAACTACCTATGTTTTTACTTATTCATTATAATCACATAAAAGTTCCTTCATTGATCTCTTATTTAGAAATTAATATATGCAATACTATGTGTTATAATTATTTAAAAAAAAAAGAAATCAGAATAAATTATATATTATTAGAATGTTTCAACAAATAATAATATTATTGTTAGCCCTTTGGCCAGCCTATTAATATATTTTTATTTTATGTTAGAATTTATGTATAGAATGTACGTTTTTTCTTCTTATGTATTGATGTTTGGTCAATAAATTATTATTATTAATATTAATTTGAAATGATTGAATTGAAAAAATATTTATCATAAATAAAACTGTAAGGTTATAAATTTAATTTTAGTATTAATTGTATTATATTGTCGATATCAATCAATTGATTATAAAGATAAAGAAAAACTATGTAATTCAATATTACTTAATTGATATAATTCTAGAAACACTTATATAACCCTGTAATAAAACAGGTAATAAAAAAAATGAGTAATGATACTTACAAAAACATCATCGATGTTGATGTCTATGATTTGCGTTGGGGGAGCAGATATCTCTTTCACTTTCACATCTTTGAGGATTGATGAAACATTTGGTTCTGAGTTGGCCCTGTGGTTTGTTACCAGGCCATCCTTGGAAGACCCTCTCGGTTTCCTTTCAATAAGTATTAGTTAATGAACAGCAGCAGCAAGAAATTTCTGTTTCGAGAAAGGGATGAAAATAAAAGCAACAGGCTTTGCATATTTAAGTGATTTCATTAAAGGATATAAACAGCAAAATAAAAAATATGTTAGTTGTGCAAGCAGTTTGATTGAGGATTTGGAGTAGTGGGCGATCACCAATGAACAGGCAGCAATACTATGAATATCAGGTAAATAACAATTGGTGATCACATAGATATGATGCTGTTTGCTATATATATGTATACCTTGATCCATGAATGGGTGTGATATCTTCAGCATCGTAAAACTGCTCAGAATCACTGTCGCTGGACATATTACTCGTCTTTCGTCTTTAAATCCAACACGAAATGCATCATCACACCCTGCACTCGGACCACCAATTAACAACACTTTGCAAATATGAATTCCAACATACAAAAATACTGTTCCCCCATCGCACTGCTGCTGTTGCAGCTGTCAAAAAGTACAATAGGTTGGATTGGATTGGTATCGGTGAACATCTACACTACCGACCGAAAACTCGTTTCCAATTTGAATATTCCAATAGAAAATCCCTCCTTTCGACCTTGCTATTCCTTCTTGTTCATTCAACAACCCATGTTCTCACCAATCCGACAATTAACAATAAAATATAAATAAACTACTGAAGTAGGTTAAATCTGCTTTAGTATTATTAGAACTACTTCAATATTTACACCTTCGGATTCCAGTTACGTTACGTAATTCGTTCAATATTAACAATTATGATTTAGTAAATATTAGGTGTATTTATAGATTGTGGATATTTTTTTGTTGGTATTTTCGTCTCTTTGAACTATTTTTTTTGTATTACTTTATTACAAATCGATTATTTGTGTATCCGCATTGCGTAGAAATGAAAAGAAATTGTGTTACACATGAATTAGATTATAATAATGCAATTGTGAATATTAACTATGTACAATCAGAAATAGTTTAAATACAATGGCGGCATTGTCTGTGACACGTGATTGAACTTTATATACAGGGTGATCCATCTAAATAAATTATTTAAATAATAAAAAAGGATAGTTTTGAAAATGTTTTATACAAATTATTCATTTTAACTTACACATTCTTTTATTATACAGTTATAACAAATAAGATTTATAAATATTTTTAAATGTCAATTACAATATTTATCAGTAAATTAATCATAAGGATTATAGAATAATTTTGTTATTCCATACTTTAACTAGTTAGTTTCTGTAATATACAGCTGCAGCAACGGTGACATATATAATAAACTCTCCATTGCGCGATTTTTCTATAGCTCGGGATCAAAAATATTAGTTTTTTAGAAAAAGATTCTGTTTTAATTACAAAATAACATGTACATTTTGATTTCTAACTTAATTGAATCGTTTTTGTTGATAAAAAGTACCGTATTCATCATAACGAATTAACCTAATGTATTTATCTTTCTTCTTTGTTTCATTTAACGTTATTTCCATATATCACTTTACTAATTAATAAAATTTGTAGTAATACTGATTAATGCGATATCAATTTAATACTGTAACAATTAATCGCGTTATAGGTTTTATGATATTATTATATTTTTACAATAGTTTTGATATTCTAAATCAGAGTTTCCCAAACTATGTTTCTTTTAGTTATGAAATAATTACTAAATACATATTCTCATTTTTATTTATTATGTGTTATACACTTACCCCACTAAACAAACAAGGTTTTCAGTGAAAATTTCAGGATTTACATAATTTTCTGCATAGTAACATTGAAAAATAAATCTGATTTACTACTTTTTGTACTACTGACAGATTATTTTCGTAGTTTTGTTTAGAATTACAGTGAAAACACTCGTTAAACGAAACAATTTTGCCCATATAATTTAATGTAAAATACGACCATACGTACCTTTTTCCTATCGTAGAATGAACTAAGCTGGCATACAAATTCGATTTCCAGATAATGAAACATCGAAATCATTACTTTATTTTTTATGATACCTATTTCATTTTACGTCTCTTTTTATTCTCTTATGGCTGTATTCTTGCGGCTTTTTCTTCGGGGACATTTTTGGTATGAGTTATTAAACTTTGCATAACGTAACTCGTTATGCGAAACATCGCTCGTTAAACGAGTCATTTTCATTACAATTTGTTTTGCTCGTTATGCGAATTAATCGGCTGATAAATATTTCTTTTATTTTGTCCTTGCATTTGTCTCAATTGTCCAAATGTATTTTCTAAATTCTTCAGTATAATACAGTGCAAGTTTATAAATCCATTTAATGAAAATACTTTGTCTTCCAAAGAATAATATTCTAATTTTCTTTCTGCAATTAGCAGAAAAAAAATGTACATTTTCATTTATTTTTTTAAATTCTTGGCATTGTGACTTTATTTTTTTCTAAATAATACACTCTATTTTGATGTCTTCGGTTTCTACAGTTATAATATCTTCTATATGGGAATTTTCATTATCATTTACAATCTTTGTATTATCGTCAACATCTTTTTCTTCAGTCTCTATTTTTACTCTATTTTAACTTTGGCTTATCATAATTGAAGGTATAAGGTCTTTTATTATAATTATCAGGAAAATAATTTTATTATAGCAAAACAAAGATTTGAAAATTTTCCGAATGGTTCCGATTTCATCCGAATTATTTATTAATCAGTATAAAAAGTACATAAAAGTTTAAAATCAGGCCTTTCCAGGCTTTAGGCCATACTGGTATAATTGATTTGTATCGGATGACTAAAAACGGGAAAGTGCAAGATTGGTGTTTAAAAAAAAATCACTAACTGCCCTCGAAAAACCGTATTCATTTTGGTCACCCTGTACTGTAAAACCAAACAAAAAGTTGTAATAACAGAGTAAACACTTGCTGCGCATCTTTGTTTTCAATCATGCACGTGTATAATTGTGCCTATTTGTTTCTTAAATCATAAATAATAAATTTATTAAATATTGACAAGTTTTCAATTGATCAAATTGACTTATTTTTCTCGGATCCTAAAAAAATATTTGGAGAAGTAAAAAAAATGATATGCATATTTTAGGAAATAAAAATTAATAGCGATGTGATGATGTTTTCTTTGAGAAATTGTAAACCAATTGTCTCTATCCGAAGGATTAGTGTTAAATAAATAATATCACTATTATTTAGATCATTCTGGTTAATACTTAAGTCATTATGTATTAGTCAATTTACTTATCATATATTTGTTTTTAATCGATCTATTTATTTTGGCGACATTTTATTCCTTTTTCGTTTATACCTTTGTTATAATTATTTATTTATCTTTTCAATTAATACAATTACCGGAAATGCGTTTTGCGAAGAACAGCAATGATAAGAATAAGCTCACTCATTCATGTATATTCTTGAAAAATGTAAATGTTTGCTGGATAGAATCTAAGTAATAAAAATTGATATAGAATTAAATTAGAAATATAAAATTTGAGAGAGTGAAAGTTTAGCAATTCCTCGCATAGCGCTGGTAAACTGTTCTGCGAATATCAGGACTGTTTGAAACCAGACTAATCGAGAAGTTAACCCACAAAAGTTAAACAGTGAATCCTTAGTGATCGAAGCCGCATTATTGCTGTATTTATAATGTTACTAAAAACAGATTTAATTTAACAACAATGGTTTTGCGAATGCCAATTATGTACAATTTGTAATGATTATAAATAGAAAAAGAGTAAATAGTTGTATCGTAACTTACGTCACGTATTAAAGATGATTAATGGATATTACAATTATATTAGAAACATTTGTTTTGTGTACAGTTTCATACAACATAGTGGGAGATTATAGTGTGGGTGTGTCAAGAATATTTGTTTCTTGTTGACTGATGTAAATATTTTATTAATCAACAGAATTCTAATAAATTCAGTTACTATTATCAATCTGAAGATTACACTTACATTACTTACATTAGATTACATTAATCTAATTACTTCATAATAAATTTGCACAGTTATGAAACTGCAAATTGTTTTGTAGATGTAAAATAGGATTTGAAACAATTAAAATTCTATTCATGTATTTCATATAAGTACATTTGAAAACTGGTTTCCTTCAATATTGAATATTTAAATTCTAGAATTTGGTCTTGAGAAATATGATTACAGTGGAAGCTTAACGAGCATTTCGTTTAAAAAGCAAAATAAATTGTAAGAAAAATTACTCGCATAATGGAACGCATTATCGTATATTACATTAGTTTATATGGGGAACATTGTATCCGGAAATTTTGCAACGGATTATGCTCGTTAAGCGAAGTTCCACTTTATTTATATTTCATTAGAGAGAATTACTATATTAGTCAATAATTATATAATAGTAAAATAGTAAAAGCAAATACGCAAACTATATACATTTTAAATGAAATTGAGAGATCAGTGAGCAAAAAAAAACTATAATTTTATTTTTATATGAAACAATATAAAAATACTGCCTTTTTTAATTATTTTTTTTTATTTATTCTCTATGTATTCTATTCGGTTGGAAAGACGTCAGTCGTTTGCCCTTTGGTCAATGTTTTGACCAATAATTATGTTTAAATTAAAATAGATATAAAATATATATAAATCTTCATAGAAATATTTAATAGACATGTATCTGTATAACATTCTGAAAGTTTTCTATTATTAAGATAGTAGTATTTTCTGTTTATGCTACTAAAAATAATGTGAACTATATTACTAATATGACACATAAAATAAGTACTTATTTTTGTGTTGTGTTGTGTTCATTTGTTAAAATAAATATTATCATTTTCTTCTGTTTTAAGTGAAAATAATAAGATTATATAAATTACTTAAAATACATTTATTTTGAATACCGCATAATATAATGTGTTTTCATATATCTCCTATCATTGAGATATGTAACTAAATAAAATTTTCATTTAACAAATCTGAATAAATATGAAGAATTTCTCGTTAACTGTTAGTCAATAAGTTTTTGCATTATTTATAATTTGACAAAGTAATAAATTCTTTAATTCATCTAGATTCTAGATGGATAAATGTACAAAGCAAAATAAGTGTACATAACAAAATGAAAACATCAACATTATGCCCCGGCAAATTTACAAGCGTGCCGTGAGTTGAAAAAAAAATCTGATATTTCAGTTGGTTTACTCTAAGTATCTCTAAAATTAAATATAAATGTAATTGTTGTAGATTATGTTTAAATGGGACACTCGGTATATGCCAAAAACAAATGGAAGATATGGTCGGTTTTGTCTTGGCGCAGTGCTGCCAATAGTGAAAGTGAACGTTCTTTCTAGAATTCAGTGACTAGATTGTTTCCAATTGTTCCAGTCGAGCCGAATGTAATTTACGAGTGGACGGCGGCGTTTCCGTACGACAAAGGGCGCCTCGCGATTTTGCTAGTCCCAATAAAGAGAAGAAAGGGTCACCGGTCTCGGGACACCTAACCAGTTCCCCCGAATTAGTTTTCCATTTTGGCGCTGTCAGTTTTGCTTGCGCTCCTTCTCTGTCTCTCCCTCTCGCTCGCTCTCTCGCTGCGTCTCTGTGTATTAGACTTGTGCTCTCTGTCTGTCATTTAGTGGCTTAACGGCAACAGTTCTCGTTCTCTACAACTCAAGGCTGTTTGCACACCGAAAGCCCGATACAACATGGACGACCTGGTTGTGGAAGTATGCGGCGAAAACGGCGCCCTTTATAAGGTCTGTATAAACTAAAGTATGTTATCCTGGTGGGCTGGGGAGCGCGGGTCGCAGGCCCGGAACCGTCGGCGTCCTTCCCGTCGAACAGTTTCCGGTCGCGGGTCTCCACTTCGGCGTGCATTGCCGGTGTGCGACCGATGTGATTCACCCAAACGTTGGTCCTTCGTTGACGCCATGACCGTTTTGACAGGGCGTGAATCCTCCATGTGTGCATGCGATCATCACCAGGCCCTTCGGCCGCGTGACACCCAGCCCACCGCCACCTTCGCACACCCATCGCGCCCAAAACGCCGGCCTCCGAAAGGTACCGCCGGTTAGGTAACCCTCGGGGCCCATCCGCGCCCTGCAGGTTAGGTTCTCCTCCTGTATCATATTACAATTCCACCAGGAAACTCTACTGTACGCGTTTCCCGAATCTTTAAAAATAACTTCATAATTCATGCCTTCTTCACTCTTAACGCACATCGTCAATTCATACTGCACGACAGATCCTCCCAAATACAGTAATTGTTTATACAGTTCCCTTAATACTTTCACCTTGTGTCATTAAACAATTCTCTTTATTTATTATGCAGGGCACCATTCTAGATGTGTTTGATGAAGATGTATTGGTACAATTCGAAGATGGGTGAGTGTTCAATTAACAATAAAATGTCAATAAATTTTTGCACTGATGAATGAAGTTCATTCGTCCCTAGCTGGCAACCAGATTCGAGGTTTCCCTACTCCAGGCTGAAGTTCCCACCCATACCAGAATCAAAAACTGAAGAGTTCATGGAAAATGAGGAGGTTGAGGTGTTCTCTGGTGGAACAACACAAGAAGCAAGTGGTTGGTGGAAGTGCAAAATTAAGGTGATTAATCAGCTTCGTAAAGTAGAGCATCTTCTTTAAATCCAGTTTATTTGCAGATGATGAAAGGCGATTTTTATGTACTGGAATATGTGGGCTGGGATAATTCTTATAGTGAGATTGTTAATAGTGATAGGCTACGTCATAAGAATATGAATCCACCTCTAGACAGAAACATGTTCTTCAAATTTGAAATCCAAGTTCCTGAAGATGTGAGGGAGTAGTAAGTGCTGAATCATTTCATTAACAATATATGTTTATTTTACACAATGTTTGTTTGCAGTGCAAAAGGTGAAAACACTCACAAAGAATTCCAAAAGGCAATTAATGCTGGAATGGTTAGATATCAGCCTGACACAGGTAATTTAGTTGTTATTTCAACATGTGAAACTAGTAAGAAAAGGGCTGCGATGGTGCAAGAAATGCATTTCCGTAGTCTTCAACAGAAAGTGCTATTGATGAAAAGGACTGAAGAGGCAGTGAGGCAACTGGAGAATACAAAACTCGCGAATGCTGGAGGGTGAGTTACCAAATGAAATTTATTTATATTTCTATCTAAGTAAGATTCAAGAAAAGAGCTGTTTTTCATGTACATTCTCGTTTCGTTTTCAATAACAACATTAATAATTGTTTCGCGTTCAGTTTTAAAGTTTGCGATTAGCCAGGACCAGAGTGTCCCTAGTAACTTTTGAAGTTTGTGTTTTTTTCTCTATTTCAGCAAATTTAAGCCCATGTATCAGCGTGTCTCTAATTACGAGGCAGCTCGTTCGGGCTCCAGGTGAGACGATGCAACCAGCATGTTACATTATCTCTGTGTCCTGGCTCTCGCTTGGCGGGTTCATATCTTTTTTGTTATTTATTATTTTATCAATTATTATCTTTACATTCCAACAACCCCAACCACCTTTTCATTCAACAATAGTTACTCATATTATAATCATTTAATTATAAGAATGAAATAATATGGAGCATGAATTACAAATCACAGAGGAAGAGAAAATAAACCAACCATATATGAACCTTCATTTAAATAAGAACAACTCCAATTTAATTGTACTAGATACTATCCGCCATTATAATGAGCCAGGATGTTTATTTTTTTTATTTCTGTTTTATTTTCGTTGTTGCTTTTGTAGTTTTAAAAATTAGACGAATAGACGTTCTAATTATAGTAATGTTTCAGTTGGTGCATGAAATGGTTTATTTTATATTATTTATTTGAAGAGCACTAGATTTATAATTTTTATACATACAACAAAGTACTAAAATGTCGAATTGTGATAGTTTTTGTTCATGTTTAGAGTCAAATTGAACATATGTGTGTTGTGTATTCTGGTAGATAGTTGCTTTCCAGTTTGGCAAACCTGGTGAAGGTGTATTTTTTTCTTGTTACCAATTTCAGGTATTCCGATGAGTTTAATGTAAGGGAGGATTTGATGGGATTGGCTATCGGTGCGCACGGAGTGAACATCCAACAGGCACGTAAGGTGAACGGTATTACGAACATCGAGCTGGAGGAAAATTCGTGTACCTTCAAAATCTACGGGGATTGTGACGAAGCGGTGAAGAAGGCTCGTGCTATGCTGGAATATAGCGAAGAGTCGCTGCAAGTACCTAGAGCTCTAGTAGGTAAAGTGATTGGGAAGAATGGCAGGGTCATTCAAGAGATTGTTGATAAAAGTGGCGTTGTAAGTAAAGTAAATATTCACGACTTGTTACAATCTTTATCACATTCAATTTCCATTATTTAGGTGCGGGTTAAAATTGAGGGGGATAATGAACCCCAGCCCACGATGCCCAGAGAAGAGGGACAGGTTCCCTTTGTTTTTGTTGGAACTGTTGAAAGTATATCCAATGCAAAAGTGCTATTGGAATATCACTTAGCACATCTCAAGGTATTTATACTTTTATTAATTATCAACCTATTAGTATCGTCATCTTATACATATCTAAAATATTACTTATTTTCAAATAGCTAACCCTTCAATTTGAAAATACTAAATTATAGAAGATATGACTTAACGATTTTTCTATAATTCTATATAATGGCAATTTTTAATGCTATTTTAAAAAATATGTTTGTTTTATTTTAAATGCAAAAACAATATTTACTGAAATATATTTATAATAGTTTTGTGTTCCATTCACCAATAAATCATTTTGCTGAATGGTTATTAACCATTATTTTATATAAATATTTGATTATGATATATTAAAATATTGAAAGCGGGAATATAGGAAATAGCCCATAAAATATAAGAAATATGTTTACATATAAATTATTCTTAATACAAATGTATTAAGATCATTTTATTTTGACAAAAATAATCTTGCAACAGTAAACAAATAAACATTTTCATTCACAATAATAAAATAAAAGATTAACTGCTGCAAAGGACTATTGACCATAGATCTTTTTTCCGCTGTTTTGATGAATATGTTGAAATAACTATAATAACAAATAAGATTGTATTATGTTACAATGTGATCAGTGTTGAGACTTATTGCTCTAGTAAATAAACAAAGTGACGGAATACTTATTATAATCTTTTTAATACGTAGTTTTATCAATGAGTCATCATGATACGCAACCTTGAAATCATTTAATCGAGAACTCCTAAATAGCAATTTCATATTTTCTCAAACACAATAATTGCAATTTGCAATTTCAGTATTGTGCATCTATATTTTTTAAAGTCTGAATAACGAAAATAAATTTAACTTATTAGATTGTTTCGAATTCTTTAAATTTGCTCACATTTAAATATTTGGAATGATCTATATAAGTAATAACTTAAGTTTTTTTAGAGACTTTTTTTTATCTGATGTATTGTTTCATCTATGATTTTTAAATTTTTTATTACATATTGTATTTGTCTCAATTTAGACCAACTTAAGTCTTTATGATCCTTTCCTTTATTAAATTTCTTTAATAAGATTTACTTTTTTTAAATATTACTTTTTTTCCTGTAACGTTTGTTTTCAAAATAATATCTGATAATAATATTTGTTGATAGGTATACAATTAAAATCACTATACTTTTTAATTTAATAATTACATAATACATTCCATATCAGAATTAGGTCATTTGGCTATATCATATATTTTTTACTTTATTAAATATTGCACAACTTATTTTCATCATATTATGTATCTGTATACAACCTATATCTTTATTAGAATTATTCACATATTTTATTTAATATAAAATGTGCGCAAATACAAAAATGGCAATAATATATGATAGCAAGTTTGCATAATGATTAGCATCAGATAGATAAATATATTATATTTCCGAGGGGATAGTTCTATTATAATATATTGCATTGTGTATGTAGATAGTTGATAAATTATTATTAACAACAACATACAATCAGCTCATACTTAACGAACATTCTTTTTTAAGTATGCTCGTAAATATATTTGTATTATGTAAGCGTAAAAATGTCCGTACGAACGTACAGTGTCTTTGGGATTAACCGACGTATTTAAACGAATTGTGTAATACTTCTATTGAATTAATTATCATTAATTGAAATAAGGGAATTATTAATTATCAGACTATAATTCCCAACCGATGTGTCCAGAAAAAAATAATGTTTTATTGGAAGTAATTACACCAACTTATATGAGTATGTTTGTGTTTATTTGTTTAGGACGTAGAACAACTTCGACAGGAGAAGTTGGAAATCGATCAGCAGTTACGTAGCATGCAGGGCAGCGTCATGGGTTCATTACCAAATCTCCCGATGTCGAGAAGACGTGACGATCGTGCGTATAATTCGGACGCGGATGGTAACAACCGAGGAAGGGGCTCTATGAGAAGTCGCGGATCGCGCGGAAGAGGAGGATCCACACGTCACGAGCGTTACAACACCGGTAGTACTATCTCAGATTATGTTAATAATGTTGATAAGCGAAGGCCGATGACAGCCGGAAACGGAGGCGGCAATAATGGTAATAGGGGCCATCCCACAACAAACGGTCGACCCCCGAGGGGCGGCGGTAGGGAAAGGCCGAACCGCGGTCGTAATGCTATAGACACCGCGGCCGGCGGTGATCGGGAACACAAGTGATTTACAGGCCACACACGTGGTCCTCTTCCATTTTGCTGCAATGTAAAATTCTGATCGGAGTTTCTCCCGGTTTTATGCACCATTTGTCTTTCAAATTAGTTTCCTCGTTCAATACCAATTGCTGCTATTGTTTTTAATTCTTTGCTCGTTATTTTTTTTTTCACAATAAGATACAAGTATGATAACTTTACTTTCGTTGAATTGTTTTTTCAATTTTTCACTGAAGACTGATCGGTGCATAAAGCCAGAGATTCGCAAGCGACATTTATAGACTGACCCGGCTGACGACTTTTTTACTATTACACGATGAAAAAAAACAATTCTCTACTATGATGAAAAAAAAAAGAAGAAAATTACTATAATACACGATTATGATGGAACAGATTTTTAAATCTTGATGTGCTTTGACGTTTACAAAATTGTTCAAAATAACGCTTCACTATTATTTTTTTTTTTTTGCCAAAACTTAACATCTAATATTTCTGTATTATTATTTTTTGTTATATTCAGCAGCATTTTTTACACCTTATTTTCTTTGTACATAATATTGGATTTGGATGTGTGCATTTCCTATATCGATTTTGATTTTTTTTTTCCAAAAACTGTTCAAAATAATCTTTACAAATGTTCGGAAAAATATTTTGAGCATTAATGACTTTGACATTCTCAATTTTTTTTACTTTTTGTTTTTGTTACCAGTAATTAATCTTTAGTTATTTTATTTTGTTTTTTCCTAACATTTTGGCGTACATATTTTAAGTGGGAACAACAGATTTCCCAGACGTATGAAACATAATTTAATGGATATATATATAATTGTAAATGGGGGGCGCAGACGGTTCTCAATTTATTTACTTTATTATTATTTCGTTTTCGTTTTTTATTAAAAAAAAAATAACATTTGTTTTGTTCGCGTTATGCAAAATTCAGTAGACTGCACCTCCCAGTGGTAATAAATATTGTCTTTATATTTGTTTAGTATTCGGTGCGCGTCTTCCGATGGTTTCAGAACTATAGGAAAGCGACGCACTCGAAAGTTAGTAAACCCGAGTTTGTGGTTGTACTACGAAAGAAGTTTATGAGAAAAAAAAAGAATATTGTCTTGACATAACTGGAAGGGTACACGAGTCAACAAAACTCTTAGCCAAGTCACTTTTTATATATATGAAACCATATATTTTTTGGTTATATATAACGAATTGCCTTGTTAAAAGTTAAGGATGAAAGAAAAGATGATGAAATACGAGTAACATTTAAAACGGATCAAAATGTTGAAACTGCTGTTGTGAGTTTGTTAACATCTTTCAGGCACTTAGCGACTGCCGAAGAAAATAAGACTGGCTTCTTACTCTTGTCGTATCTTATTGTGAAAGATTTTTTTTAGAAATATAAATTAATATAGAAAAACTGAACTTCTGTGTTTTTATTTCGAATTTAGAGCTCGTTGGTACCCTTTCAGCGTTAAACGTTTTGTTTGGTTTCGTTCATCATTTTTTATTTCAATAACATCTCACTAATACGTACGCAATAATTTTAATATCGTATCACGCTTTGCATGTGCCTAATGCTTAAAGGGTGTCAAATGACTCTGTATGTACTTTCTATTCACACTTTGTCTCTTCATCTATTCTGAAATGAATTTTCGAAACGAAATGTTATAGTTTACGTTATGTGTAGGATCGCGTCATCAGACTCCGGACACCGCCGACGAAAGAGTTGGAGACGTGCCTAGGCAATACGGTCAGAGGGGTAGAGGACGCAGGGATACCCGAAGGGACGACAGGCGTAGGACCACGGACGACGAAGAAACTGTTCTGGATAGCCAAGAAGTGTCTAGTGTTGATAGAGGTAAGTCTGTTCAAATTTAGTTTACCAATCCACGGAAAACAGTACCAAAAACTAAGTCTTATTCTCTTAATAAGATTTTGTTTGAAGGTTCGTATATTTCTTAAATTAAAGCATGTGGAACGCAGTAGATTCGAATTTAAGTAAAAACATAAATATAAAAAAGACTGCATGTATGAAATCTTCAATTTATTGGAATGTTACTTGTTCACAAATCGTACATTTTACGATAAAACCCGCAATCAAATATAGTCAACTTTACGAACATTCAGAGATAACTAATCAATCCAGCATTGTTAGTATGTATTCAATGTTCCAGTTAAGTTTATGCGCGTGCGCACTATTTACTTTCATTATCTAAAACTTTCTACGAAAAATAACTTGTAATCTTTAATCGGTTTATTATATTTAACGGAGATTTATTTAAATGACAATTGTGTGTGATTATGCTGATTTTATGCTTAGAGAACTGCTGTAAAACTATTGTCCATATATTATTTAGTTATTAACAAATGTAGAATGAAAAATATTCCTAGTCAATTAACGTGTACTTTATAATAAGTGCTAATTAGATAAATAATAGATATAATCTCGACACGGAATTTATTTTTACGAATTATGTTGTAGAACTAACTAATAGTTGTTTTTTCTGCACTCAAATAATATTTATAGTGCACATACAAATTTTACTACACCAAGTTGAAATTGAAATCTGAATAAGATTAATTGTTATTTTTTTTACCTATTATCCTAAAATATATTAATTTACCCCTAAGAATTTGCAGACCTGTAGGTCTTCACATAAAAAGATAAACTATTTTGTTCGGAAAAAGAGATGGAATGGAAAATACATGATAAGGATATATTTTAAGTGAGTGCGAGAAAAATAGGTCAGGGTTACAGTTTATTGAAATATTAACTTGTAACAAAAAATGGACAATTTATTTGAAATTAAAACATTGATGATTTATTTTACGTATCTTATTTACTTTGATATGTTCCGAAAAACACAGCGATTGAAGAAAAAAAAGGAATTCTAGTATGAGTAGCGAAGAACAGATAACATTCCAATGTATGCGTTAATTATGAAAAGCTATGGTGTATATAGTAAGGGGTTGTTTAGAGTCGGTATCGAGTGTTGAAGCTGTGACATGGGGTGGTCCTCAGCGCAGGAGGCGACGTAAATTGAGACAACGAAGTCAAACACCAACGAACTCGAGAAACCTTGCAGGTATATAGACCTAAGTAGTAATAGTAACGCTTCAAATATGTATGCATGATTATTATACTTAATTCACTTTAACCATGTCTGAGACGCGACTGTAAGTAATGATTTAACGTTGCACTAATGCTAGAATGGTTCACCATGATATTTCTTTGTTTAGTTTTATCTATTGCTGCGTGTTGGTACTCTTAATACATGATGACGAGATTACTTAATCGTGATTTATTCTTTGCTTTTTAGTCTATAACCACCAAGGAGGAAACGGAGATCAGCATGTTGTCGCCAACAACGGAGAGACCACCCATCAGCAGAAGACGCACCAATCGAAATCGCGTTCTAACAAACCACCGCCTTCCCGCCGCAACGACCCGAAGCCAAACGAGGAGCTCGTAAACGGAACATCCGCATAGATTTTTTAATTACAAGCAAAAAAAAAGTGTGCGCTCCGAATGTAAGCAAGGACTCCCACTTTACCTATTCGACATTGAGTTAAACATAGCCTATCAGTTTTTTTTGTTTCTTTGTATAGTTATATAAATATACATACACATTTATGTATAAGTTGTCTCTAATCAAACACAGAATGTTTAAAAAAATAATACAATGGTGCCAATTTGTCTTTACTTTACACGCAGTTGTTTCCCTTTCGTCAACTGTACACAATTAAACAATATACAAACATACACCCCCACACACTCGTTATATAATTGAAATACTCTCATTTTGTGACAGCAGTAAATAAACCATGCCTTAAACTTTGGAATTTTTAAGACTGATAGACTGTGCTCGAGCTCAGACTAGTGATTCGTAAATTTAGTGGGTGGACTCTACTGCCCGTATCCCGGCTGAACAGAGAAAGAGACTGTTTGGTTCTGTGAACCATGCCTCAAGCTTGTTTGTTAAAGAGAAATATAAAAAAATAATAATAATAGAAGGATTATTAAAGACTGTATAACCGGGTTAAATATAATTTTGTTTAATTTGAAGAAAGAAAAAAAGTTTGTTATTGATGAAAAAATCGATGTCATTGAAGCAAAGGTGAAGAGTGGATGTGAACGTGAAACTGGAACCGCACCCAAAAGGATGGAAAATGAAGAAGGAAAAAAAAAACAGGGAAACCGACAAGAGAATAGAAGAATAACACGTTTTGTGACTAACTTTTCTAAGAATTAATACTTTGATGTTATTTACCTCCTAGCGCACATAAAAAAAGGAAACAAGAAAACGAAGAGGAAGGGAAAAAAAGAGGAATAGCTTTTTATTTTATAAAACATTACGTACTTAAACTTTTCTTTATAGTTATTATGTTTTTGTTATTATGTTCTGTTTTTGTCCGTCGATTCCTAACGGTCGCAAAAAAAAATAATTAAAAAAAGAACGGACGATTTTCTGCAACTTCTAATTTTATTCAGTGTCAGTATGGAAAATCTATTTATGTATTTTTTTATTTATTTATTTTTTAAAGTTTGTATTTAGATAGAACAAATTATTTATTTAAGTTGTCTTATGTGTTCTCGTTCTTTCGTTTCTCTTAATTATTATTATTTTGTTTTGTTTCTCGAATTAAACTTTACACTTTTATTTTAAATTTAAACAAAAAAAATATAAATATATTATATATATATTAAAAAAGTTAATTGTAAGAACTTTTGAGTTTAAATAGCTTACATTTTTGGTGCTCTTATTATGAAAATTTAATAACTTAAAAGAAAGAAATTATAAAATGTATTCATATTATTGTAACACAGTTTTTTTTTTGCATTAAACAATAGATTGCGCATTTTTTTTAAATATATTTATAAATATATTTTCTTTAATTCGTTATTTTCGTTCGTTTACTAACAATACCAATCGACGAGGCTATTTTTTAATGTTCTGTCATTTCTGAACAATGAAACTACCATATTCAAGTCACCTTGTTGAAGTATTATTGATTGGTAAGTTAACTAAATTATATTTATTACTTAAACAAAATATTTAATTAAGTACTTATTAATTAATATGTAATAAATAGATTAATTTTATTAACATTTGTAAATACTATACCATATATTTAATACATATAAACTATTACTATTAAATAATATGCTCTTTATAATGTAGTTTATTTTAAGAATATCTTTTACTATCATTGAAAGCATTTGAACAATTAAAGAAAATATTTTTGGTACAGTTAAGATACTTTGGTTGCCTACTTTTTTTTTCATCCTGACCTCTTTGTAGGAGCCATGATCCAAATATAAATCTGTAGATATTTTTATCAAGTAAAATAACCGTATTATATAGAAGATATTTAAATAATATCACATATACAAATACATCATATTTTTTTATTTCTAACAAAACGTATATATTTATATTTTTAATAAATATAGTAATACCAGTTTTTTTTGTTAAAATGATGAAATATCTTGCATAGAAATGATTTTTAAATATGTAATAAATAATATAATATTTCTTTGTTATAACCCACTTTAAGAATGGTAGAGTACGTTCCTGAGTTTCTGCATTGACAAACTGTCAAAAACTTTAAAGTTTAATTGCAGATGGCGCGCAGTTCATTACATCAATAAAATTTATATAATGAGAAAAGGAGGACATGCAAATAATGTAATGTAATATCCTTTATATGTCTTTTAAATGTTAATAGACTTTTTCTATGTTAATTCGATATTTATTGATTTTTTGTTTTGAATCCCTATGAGATTAAATTAAGATAATTTTAACTAAAAGAACAAAATTAATTTTAATAACATTTTTATTTCTTGTATAATATTTTTGTAAGATAATTGATATTTTATAATAAGATACATAACCTCAAACAATCGATGTACTTTTTTTTTAAGATCATAGCCTGTTGGCGACAGATTGTAGAGTAGTAACAAATTTG